GTTACAGACAGATTTTTTTGCTAATTTAATGCTCAACACACTTGGTTCTCAACAACAGTAGAATTAGACAATCATTTGAGGTCTTCAGAGCAGGAACTTCAAATCTTATACATCTTTTGTGCATGTTTCCATTCATTCAGTAATATTTATTTCTGTAGCGTGAGGTTACAAAAATAATAAATACCAAGCAGATATGCAGAGCCTACATGTAACAGCCTCAGAGCAATCCTGAGGCTCCAATGCTTAAATCATCTAATTCCACCTACCCTCTTGATGGTGACCAGCCAGGACAGCATTGATGAAGAGAAAATTAATTTGTAAACTGCTGGTTGGCCAGAGTACATCAAGCAGAAACTAGTAAATTCAGGTCAGTCTTAGTCTTCACACTAACACTCATTTTAGTCATGCATATTTTTTGTTCATTCAATCAATATTTACTGAGCACCTACTATGTGCTAAGTGTGGTTCTCGACATAGCACAGACAAGAATCGAGCAAAACAGGCAAAGACCCTGCCCTCATGGAACTTACAAGTATAGAAATAAAAAAAAAACACAAATAAACAAATGAACAAAATAATCTCTAAGTGCTACTGAAGAAGTGAAACTTGATGACAGTAATGGGAAATGTTCTGTTTTTGGAAAGGTGGCCTCTTTGAACAGGTGACATATGATCCATGATCTGTATGATGAGAAAATGGCTGACACAGTGAAGATGACCCCAGGCAAGGTGAAAAGCTACGTTTGGGTTTGGTTGTACTACACAAGAGCAAGAAGGGGCAAGGTGGTGAAGGCAGAGGCCGGATAAGGACTTAAAATACTTTGTCCTCAAAACTAATGTGAAGATAAACTCCTTTTTAGAAATGAGTCTGTGGCCGGCCGAGTGGCTCAGTTGGTTAAGAGCTCGCCCAAGAGTTTGAGCTCTGAGCAACAGCGGTTCGATGCCTGGCCTGAGCTGAGCTGCTGCTAAGCTGCCAATAGGTAGCAGGATGGCTCAGCTAAAAATAAATAAATAAATAAATAAATAATAATAATAATAACAATAATAATAATAGAAATGAGTCTGAATGCCTCTCCATAATTGTATTATTTTATTATATACAGGCAGGACCAACCTCTTCATGAAGAAAGTCCTAGTAACTATAAAACCTGTGGAATTTTCTCATTCAAAATGTGTATAGAAAATAAGGCTCAGGTGAGTACTTAAATATGACTTTGCTAACAAGGAAAAAAAATAGTTACAGCATTGTGGTCATCTGGAAATCAGAACTGCATTTTGTTTAAACTTGAATGGGTCTATAAATACGCTATTGTCTGTTTTACCTTGACCAGCAGGTAAAAATCCCCAAAGTACTAAGGTTAAATTCACTCATTACTATTGAATTAGTAATTCAAATGATAAAATATTCTAATGTGATGCATTTATTTTGGTACTAGTGCAATTTATTTCGATAGCATGGTGTTACGCTTGTTGTATATAGAAAACTGCATATATATATATATATATATATATATATATATATATAGTGCCCAAAAAATGTATATAAATGGACATTTTGGTCAACGCTGCTCAAGCAGTAGTTCGCCATAATCAGAGGTGTCTGGACGCTGATGGTGACCACTTTGAGCACCTCTTGTAATTGCAGAAGTCAAACATGACTTGTATTCATCTTTTGTTATTGGTATAATTGAGTATTACAATTGTAATAGTTTTTTCCTTTCTTAAAATAGGTATACATTGTGTGTAGCCAGCAGCCAGCGTGAGCGGCCAGCAGCCGCAGTGAGCGGCCGTCCAGAAGCCGGCGACTGATCTGCCTCGCCAGAGAAGAGCGCAATGATGGTGCCAACTTGGGCCAGTGAAGCAATGTCCTCCACAACTAGATTGAAGAACAAAACGACAGCAACTTGTCTGTTCCCCTTCCCCCAATTCCCCAGCACTGTTCCCATCCCCCCAATTCCCCAATAAAAATCTTTAAAAAAAAAAAATAGGTATACATTTTTTTTGGCACCGTGTATGTGTGTGTGTGTGTGTGTGTGTGTGTGTGTGTAAAGATCATCAATAATTTACTAGAAATTGGGCAGCTTTGTAAGATAACATATTTATGTGTATAAATATAAAGACCCTAGACCACTGAGATTGTAGGATATAGATCAAGCACCTGAGTTCCAGTTTTGCAACCACCTACCTGTGTGATCAAGCCCAGGCAAGATCCTAACCCTCTCTGAATCTCATGTCTCTCTCAAAAATATAGGTTACTACACCTTACTAGGTTGAAGAGACAATGAAACAAAAATATCTAAGTGTCTGACACACAGAATAAACTCAATAAATTTTAGTGTTTCTCCCTCCCCCACCCAAAGTATTTTTCTAATACAGGCAGTAGCATTTACAATATGGGAACAATAGTCATAGTGATTTGTCTATTTTAATCAAAATTTGATGGTATTTTTCACATAAGAGCACGAGGTAGGACAAATAAACTGTTTCTAAAGCTCTTCACACAGCAAACTCTGAATTAAGACCTAGTGTTTCTCATTGTTCTGCTGCCTGGAATCATCCCATTTTCACTGTCTAATTTCTCCGCAGCTTCCACTGTGTTTCCTTCATCTCAGGCACAAGCATGTGCCCAAGTGCAGTAAATCACAGTTAATTACATGTCTTAAATTAAAAGTCTAAAATAATGCACAATTAATTGGGGGAAATTGTCAGTTGGTGAATGAGTCTCGCTCATTACACTTCGTGCACAGGATGCGAGCCAAGTGTGCACTGGCAGGCAGGAAGCATCAGTCCCCGACACCGAGGGCAGGTGATGGCACAGCCTGCAGAGCGGTCTGCCTGAAGGACCACAGCTTTCAACACTCAGCACCGCAACTGCAGTACCACCCGCTTTCTCTACAAGGGCGTACAATGCAGGACTGTGCATAATGGTGAATAATTACAAAGCATGAGAATTTGAATTGATAAGGGGTTAAATAAAGAGACGAGGCTTTGGCCATGAAGGGAAAAATCTAAGCTGTTACAAATGGTTTTTTCAGTTTTGATAATATGAGAAAATGTTCAGAACATATTCTAATGTGAAAATGTCTTACAAGACAATATGTTTCATTTTTGTTGATTTATAATAGGTAGAAGAAGCAAGAAAAGAGAGAGAGGAGGAGGAAGGTACTGGAAAAACATACAACAAAAATGTTAGCAATTATCAATCCCTGAGTTGTTCATACTTTCTAAATTTTCTAAAAATCTTTCTAAGTTATTTAAAATTACATTTAAATTTATTTCTGAATCCAATTTTATAAATTGTCAGTTTTATAGATCCATAAGAATCTTTTAAGATGAACTTGTCTGTTATAATAAAAATGTCATCATAAAATTAAAAATAATCCCCAGTAAACACTTATATACAATCCTTCAATACCCTTGGCTATATAAACAAAATCAACTTTGCAAAAATGTATTTTAAAAATATACAAGAAGACCATGTTCAAAACACTAATTTATTCCAACATATACTTTATAATATTAACACACCAGAAGAAAATCATTATAAATCCTTATTAATTTACTGATACTGACAAACTACAAATATGTTCACAGCATATCCAATAACCTTGAATTTGAAGAAATGCAAATCTCTTCTCCTCCACCTAGTCTCCCATTTTTTTCTACCCAGTAATAGAAAAATTTTACATCTATCTACCTAGTATTGTCCTGATGCTACAATCTGCAAGAAACACCACACACACACACACACACACACACACACACACACACACACACACAGTTTCATCATTTTTACCAAACTAGATGAGAATAAATGACAAAGTTTTGCAAAATACAAATGTTCACTTTTGTTGTAGTTCAAATTTAGAAGAAAAGAACATATAACATCCAACAGAGTAGATTCATTCAAAGGTATTGAACAGTCTACTAACCTTGAAATAAGAAATAAACACTCCCTGCTCTCTCTTATTTATCGGGGGGGTCGGGAGGGGGGGTGATTGGAGTGGGAAAAGATCATTATGTTTCAGCAAAACCCCATATCTCAACCTCAGGTGTCTCTATGTCCCAAGGGTAATATTTCCATTCCACTCTTAATGGAACAAATTTCTAATCAGAATATGTATTCAAAAATAATTGAGGCAATGCGATGTCAACACATCATGCTGCCACCAGCATTCCCTGGTGCTAGGAGTCAACTCAGCACATGCTCCGCTGTGACAGAGAGACAAGGCAATGTATACATGTCAGAATTCAAGAAGGGACGGGGGGTAGCAAGGGTGGTACAGCCATTTGCTCCTCTCTGTGTGCTCAAAGACAGGGTTTCGAAGAAAGCTTCTAAGCTGAAAGAGGCCAACGCTAAAACTTTTAAGGAAGGAATGACTTAAAATGGGTCCAGACCAGGACCTCAACTTTTAAATCCAAATGTGTCTCCTTTTAGAAAATTATTGACAATTCTTCAAACAACAATCATTTCCAGAAAGGTGAACATTGCTCCTAGATGTTTAAATTATTAACACCTTACGACAACATATACTACTGAATATATTTTGTGATGCCCTGAAATAGTCCAGAGGCTTAAATTCAGGTTCCTTCAAGTTTGACAGTATATTGATAATTGTAGAAGCTAGGTGATGGGTAATGGGGGTTCATTATATTAGTCTTCTACTTTTGAATGTGTTTGACAGTTTCATAATAAAAAGTGGAAAAAAACAAACAGATTTCTTTCACTATATTTTATGCTCCAAATTTTACTGACTTTTCCTTTGGAAATATATGAGATGTGATTTATGCTGATGATTACTAAGACTATAACAAGCAGTCTAAAAGTTTTAAAAATCCACCAAGCATGATGTTGATAATAAAAAAAATTCCTTCATTCCTGAAAAAATTTTTTACCATGATCTATAACAATAGAAGTGCACCTAAATAAACGCAATGCCACCATCTGCCTGGCATTCTCACAGTGTGACAAAACAGACTGGTAATTAACTGCTTTCCTACCGAAATCTGCCAGCTTTAACTCCCCCGTGTCACTGATCAGAAGGTTCTGTGGTTTCAGGTCTCTGTGCAAAATATAACGCTGGTGGATGTAAGACAGCCCTCGCAGCAACTGAAATAAAAACAACTGAAAAAATAGGGAGACAAAAGTTAAAATCTGAACATAGATAAATGCCAGTTTCTACATACAGTCTGCCAAGTACTTGTATTTAGCGAAAATGGGTACCCATCTCTAACTTGCCTACCAAATTATTTAAAAGGGCTGTGCATAAAGGTGTGCATATCTCCCACTCATTAAAAAGTACATCTGAAAATTTCTAACAATTCATGTTAACCCAGAGTGATATGTCCCCAGCCAGAGAGATCCAAGCTGTGGTCTCTAAATTAAGCAAAATGTCAAGAATCAATTCCTTATATATTTGATTTCCTCAGGCTCAACTGATGTTTGAGACAGAGAAACAATCCATCCATAACATCATAAAAAGCAGAATATTTTTTACCAAGTTTATGTAAATGCATACATATTTAACTCCATGAAAACGTCATAAACATGGTGCCCAAGGATATCCCCATTAATATGTTTTAAGGAATGAAAAGATAAGATGATTTCACACAGTTAAAACAAAAACAGTCAAATGGTCCAATTAATACTATATTGTAATTATATTGCTTTTGCACATATGGCCACAGAGATTAGGCTGTGGCCTAAAGACAGACATGTACCTTCACTAATTACAGAGCAGACCCATCCTAAAGGGAAAGCAATCACAGAAAACAGAGAAATTAAGAACTCAGGAGTAATACTCTTGTTAAAAAAGTGACTGATGGCCTTCTCTGTTTAGTTTCATATTGGATCTATCAAATATTTCTATTTTGTGGCAAAAACAATGTGCTCCACTAGCCTTTCCAATATTCTTTATATGAAAGAGGGAATATTTTTTTAACCATTTACTTGCCAAAATAATCCTAATTGACATTGTTTTAAAAAAATCAATTTCCTAAAACAAAAATAAAAGCAAATGTTTTAAGTGCCTCTGCTGTTCTAGTCCAGGGGTTGGCAAACTGCGGCTCGCGAGCCACATGCGGCTCTTTGGGTACGTTCCATCTCAAAAGTTTGCCGACCCCTGGAAGAGCCACTCCTGTACCTCAAAGTTTTGTGAGACCTATAAAACAAATGAAATCACCATTATGTGAATAATATCCTTTAAACATTTTATAAATGAAACTATGATAGTTTTATTTTCATTTCCAATTTTACTTCAGAGCCACATGTAGGTACCCAAAGAGCTGCATGTGGCTCGCAAGCGGCAGTTTGCCGACCCCTGGCGGCTCTTCCATCTCAAAAGTTTGCCAATCCCTGTAATCTAGTCGATATAGTCAGCTAGTAACAAAATGTCATTTCAGGGACATATTAAACGACTTCGCTGTCCGAGATTCATTGTATAAGGATTCAAGAATATTCAAATGGAAAAGGATGGCAACCTCTTGAGGGTCCTGGAAGGTAGCACTGGTGGAATATTTTCCAACTAACTAGGGGGCTATAAAAGCCAAGTAAGCTGTTTACAGGGTAGGTACCTGGAAATAACCGTAAGATGAATTCATTTCAAAACCTTTGTATGTGATGATACTCATATGCTGAGCAGTCAAGGCCTACGGTCATTATTTCCAGAATCTAAGTATCACAAAGTAGAAGTCTGTTCTGTGTTAGCCTCGATTAAATTACTGGCTCAAGAACCTCCAGAAGCAAACGTTTCTCTGAGACTCGTCCTCTCGGTCCTTCCTGTGCGGCAGATGCAAAGACAACACCACCGCCAGCCGCGTCCAGCTACAGCCCCTGCATCCTGAAGCCTAATGCTTACTAAGGAAATCATATTCTTTCAGTTTAGACAGGGGAAAGAGTGAGCAAATAAGGCCACTTTGAGTTTTCAGGAGTTTTAAAATACTATATAATAAACACAAAGGCAGACCACATAACAAACTTAATTGGTGGGCACACGATGCAATATACAGATGACGTATTATAGAATGGTACACTGGAAACTTACGTAATGTTATAACCAATGTCACCCCAATAAATTTAATAAAGTAAATAAATAAAGTGATTTTGAAAAGACAGTTTGACATCTGCAAGGTGCTAACTGATGTTTGGGTGTCAGAGAGACTTCTCAGAATACGACTAACTGCTGCAATGCATTTATTTTAGTTTAACGCACAGACACCAAATGCCACTCTATGCATCGAATATGACCTCATTTAATTGCTGTCACAATTTTAATGAAGAAGGTACTTCTATCATCTCTGCATTAGCGAGGAGGGAACCGAGCACAGTTTCTCAAAGTCACACAGCAGAGCAAGGACTCAGACCCAGGCAGTTTGGCTCCAACGTCCATGCCCTTCACCACTGCACTGTAGGAGTCTTGGCCAGAAATACAGTAGGCACAATGTTGATACGGAAGCAGCTTCACAGAATGAAGTCTAGGCACTTAAGATGAGGGCGTTCAAGGCCACTGAGCAGAGTCCTGATTCCAGCTGAGTGCTCTGGCGTCATCACTCCCCATTCCCCGACTCCAGGCAATCTCACCGACCCCCCCACTCAGAGCATACTGCTGTTCAACACCATGCCCCTGCTCCTGACCCTCCTCTGAGGGAAAAGCCCTCTCTCCCCTTTGCCTGCTGATCTCCATGTGTATCTTAGTTATTTCCTCAAGAGTCTCCCCACCCTGGGGTATTCCTTGACTGCCCCCAAGGCCTTCACTCCCTCTGCAGGTCTTCACGAGCTGCTCCTCCTCAGAGCTCCTGCAGCAGCCTCTGCAGACGCCGATGGCACAAGGCATCATCCCACTTCCCACAGACAGTGTGCCCTCACCATCTTCTTAACCTGGGTACACAGCTGACACTCCTATACCAATAACATGATACCTGAACTGAATTTAGAGACATCTGGGTGAAGCAAATACAAAAATCACAGACAGAAAACAAGGAAATGGTATTCTCTAGAAGCTAAGGGTCAAAGTGGGTAGATCAGACAGTCAGAGGGCTCTTTTTTTAATACTAATTAGTGAAAATATATAATCCTAATGCTAATATAGAAGCTATTCAAATAGGGTATCACATTAAAGGAGATTATGAAAATCAGTGTTAAGAAAGGATGTAACGACACACTCCAATTACAGTTGTACACATGACAAGCTCAGCCCCAAACATGACAAATAGAGCCCCAACCAAACGTTTAGGTCTTTGAGCAATACACAAAGTTAACTAAGAGTGAATCCCTATTGAATGAATTCATCCAGAATTTATTAAGTGCCGACCCTGTGCCTGGTGCTGTCATATAAGAAGGATGCAAAGATGAATAGGATGTAAGATAGAGTCCCTGGACTCGAGGAACTCACAGTCCACTGGGTACAGGAGACACATATACAGATGACTGCCACTTAAATAGGCCTGCACTGTAGCAGCAACACAAATGGAGGGTACTGACGGCACAGACGTGGAAGGTTCTAACAACAACCAAAATATAGGATTGATCCTGCCTTTATCCAAAGACAAGCCTGGGGAAGAGGTGACTCATAGGGAACTTGTCACTTAAGAGGAAACTTAGTGGATCATTTACTAGGTGCACGAGTTGAAATGAGGTATTACCTGACAAACCTCTTGCGATTCTGAAGGGAAATAATTGAGGAAAACAAGCAAGCAGATCACTAGATAAATTAAGAAGAAAAATATTAAACAAATGAAGAGAACATATGAAACTGCAAATCTACCAATTCATCACCATGAAAGTATTGGTGGCAAGAGGACAACAGTAGACCTCACTGAAAATATTAGAAAATTTGGTGTTTTAGAAATAACATTTTAACGTGCTTAGCAAAAATATGCACTCTGGCTAGGGGTGGGAATGCTGTAATGAAGGGGCAGCCATGCTGAGTTAAGTAGAATGTCCTGTGGAATATTCTTTGGGAACGTTCTGAGAACTCAAGTCTTGGCGATCTCTTCCTTTAGACAAGCAGGCAAGCATCTAACTTTCTCATGTAAATGTTTGAGAAAGCCATTACACTTGATTGTTGTATGAATCAGCACACAAGATATACTTGATCTTTGTGAAAATCAAAGGACCCTGTGAGAACAAGGACCCCCAAAAAGGGGTCACATACAGAGAAAAAGTAATAATCATCTTTGATATTTGCTAATAAAACTTGGTAACCATCGATGGGATCTTAGGTCCCCAAAACAAAAGGGGGACTAATCCTAACTGAAGGCTCACTGTAGTTTCAAGCCTGTCTTAAGAACTTTTACATGTACCATTTAATCCTTTCCATCCATAATCCTATATTTTTCCTTTTCTATTGAAATGAGAAAACTAAAGCTCTCAATGCACAAGAAACTCACTCAAATCCATCCAACCATCACACAGTCCTTGTGAACTTTCCACTATACCTCATTATCCTAAAGGAGGTTGATGCTTAATAAATATAGTTATACGCCCAATATAATCAAAGTCCTTTTGTTAAGTGAACCCAAGTTTGCAAAATTCTCAATTAGCATCTTCTGTAATGAGTGCATGATTCTTGATTTTCTGTTTTTGCTATTTAAAATCCTCTGAGAAATGAACAACATGGCAGAAGACAGCTATTATCCTAGAGTTGCTAAATCAACATATTTGAGACTCTCTTCCAATTTTTTAACTATAGTAGCCATAAGATCTTCCTAAGAATACCTTCTCACCTCAGGATAGTCTATTCAACTTTATAAAAGGAGATTCCTCCAACTTCTTCAGGATGATCACTGAAGATTTATATTGTAGTTTGAGTATGTTCATTCTGTGCAATAAAAAGCCCAATGGGGAAATGTCTTACATAGCAATGATATGATGAATGGGGACACTTCTGCCAGCAGCATATCTATCTATAGCCCAGTTGTCTTGCTGTCCTCAGCAGGAAGCAGCTCAAATTCTCATTGCCATGGCATAGGCTTCGTAGGAATAGTCTTAATACTTCATCTATCCCCTTCTGCAACTCTTGAGACTTTAAGTAGGTCAAAAAAAATCAAGATAAGGCCTTTTCTCAAAACTTTCAGGGTAAGCTGATAAAATGTACACATTATTGGAATCATTACTCAGAAGAATTA